AGGTGTGCCCACTCGCCTGCCTGGCTGCCCGCGCTGCCCTGCTCGTGGAAGAAGTCGTCCAGCAGCTCGTCGTCGGAGCGGGCGATGATGTGCACGTCCTCGTTGCCCACCAGCAGCCGCGCCCGGCCCCGGCTCTGCAGCGGGAGGCTGCTGCTCAGCTGCAGGATGTCTGCGGCCGCCGAGGGGCCCAGGAGCCTGGGGAGGGGGCACAGTGGGTCAGGGGGCAGTCATGGGAGTGTTGGGGGGCTCAGGGGGGTGTGAGACCCTCAGCTGGGGGCACAGCCTGGCTGCTGCTCAGCTGCAGGATGTCTGCGGCCTCTGAGGAGCCCAGGCAGCCGCGCCCGGCCCCGGCTCTGCAGCGGGAGGCTGCTGCTCAGCTGCAGGATGTCTGCGGCCGCCGAGGGGCCCAGGAGCCTGGGGAGGGGGCACAGGGGGCATTCATGGGGGTGTTGGGGGGTTTCAGGGGGGTGTCAGACCCCAGATGGGGTTGTGAGACCCCCAGGTGGGGCTGTGGGACTCAAAGGAGGGGCTGTGGCACAAGCCCAGGTAGTGGATGGGGATTCCCAGGGGGTTTGGGTGACCCCAAGGGGGTTTGGGGGTGTTCCCTGGGGAGTCTGGTGACCACAAGGGATCTCTGGACATTCCCAGCAGTGGTCACTCACCGCTGCAGGATCAGGGGGGGTTTGGGGGTGTTCTCAGCGAGATTTGGGTGTTCCATGCAAAAACCATGGGGAGGGGAGAAATGGGGGGTCAGACACCCCAAAAACCACGTGGAGGGAAGAAACAGGGACTCAGACACCCCAAAAACCAGGGGGAGGAATTGGAGGAAGCACCTCAAAAACCACAGGGAAGAATTGGGAAAAACCCCAAAAACCACAGGAAAGGGAGAAATTCCCAATTCCCTCACAGTCCCCTCCCAGTGCCCCTCAGTCCCCTCCCAGTGCCCCCCAACAGGGGGTCAGACCCCCCAAAAACCATGGGGAGGGGGAAAACAGGGACTCAGACACCCCAAAAACCATGGGGAGGGGAGAAATGGGGGGTCAGACACCCCAAAAACCACGTGGAGGGAAGAAACAGGGACTCAGACACCCCAAAAACCAGGGGGAGGAATTGGAGGAAGCACCTCAAAAACCACAGGGAAGAATTGGGAAAAACCCCAAAAACCACAGGAAAGGGAGAAATTCCCAATTCCCTCACAGTCCCCTCCCAGTGCCCCCCAGTCCCCTCCCAGTGCCCCCCAGTCCCTCCCAGTGCCCCCCAGTCCCTCCCAGTGCCGTACTGGGGCTGGAGAACATGTTGTCAAACTCGATGATGAGATCGTCGTCGCGGTCGAAGCGCTCGAAGCGCACGAGGGGCGAGGCGTTCATGTCGGGGTAATCCTCGTCCAGCTCCATCTCTGAGCCATCATCATCATCCTCCTCCTCCTCACCTTCCTCACCCTCCTCATCGTCCTGGCAGGGCCCGCCAGGGGGTCAGCAGGCCCCAAATTAAGGGGTTTTGGCTCAAAATAGCCCTCCCTGACCCAAACATTTTCACCAAAAACAGAACTCCTGACCCAAAATTGGGGGTACCCTGACCCAAAACAGCACCCCCTGCCCCAAAATTGGGGGCACCCTGACCCCCAAAATGGGGGTACCCCCACCCCAAATGACACCCCCAGACCCAAAATTGGGGGCAGCTTGACCCAAAACAGGGCACCCTGACCCCCAAAAGCCACGCCCTGACCCCAAAACAGGGACACAGCTACAGAGAAGACCCCGTTATTTTGGGGGCATCCCTGAGTTTTGGGGGGGCCCTCAGCACCCCACCCCCCACCTGATCATCCTCATCCTCCTCTTCCTCCTCCTCCTCCTCATCCTGGCTGTCGTCCTCGTCCTCGTTGCTGCCGCTGCTGTCCTCCTCCTGTGTGTGCTCCTCCTCATCCTCAGGATCCAGGATGTTCATGGAATCTGTGGGGAGGGGAGAGAGGGGGTCTGTAGGACCCTGAGACCCCCCCAGGGACATCCCCAAATCCCCGACCCAAATTTACCCCCTGATCCCATAGGGAGCCCAATGCCCCCAAGGTCACTCCAGCCCTGCACCCCCCACCAGAGCCCTGGGGACCTCTCAGTCCCTTCCCAGTTTCTCCCAGTCCCTCCCAGTCCCCAAAGCCCGTGCCCACCTTCACGGTTGGCCTGCAGCGTGGAGGCCTGGCTGAGGTTGGACGGAGCCTCGTCCATCAGAACGTCCTCCTGCGACTCGTCCTCGGCCGAGCGGCTCACTGGGGACAGGGGACACGGCCGGGGGTCACCCTGATGGCCAGGGGTCACCCTGATGGCCAACTGTCACCCTAGTGTCCAGGGGGTCATCCTGATGTCCTGGGAGTCACCCTGCTGTCCAGTGGTCACTCTGCTATCCAGTAGTCACCCCCCTGCCCAGCGGTCACTCTGCTGTCCAGCACTTTACTGTCCAGTGGTCACCCCAATGCCCAGTGGTCACTCCGCTGTCCAGCACTCTACTGTCCAGCGGTCACTCCACTGCCCAGTGGTCACCCCAATGCCCAGTGGTCACCCTGCTGTCCAGTAGTCACCCCAATGCCCAGTGGTCACTCCACTGCCCAGTGGTCACTCTGCTGTCCAGTTGTCACCCCAATGCCCAGTGGTCACTCCACTGCCCAGTGGTCACTCTGCTGTCCAGTTGTCACCCCAGTGTCCAGCGATCACTCTGCTGTCCAGTGGTCACCCCCCTGCCCAGCGGTCACTCTGCTGTCCAGCACTCTACTGTCCAGTGGTCACCCCAAAGCCCAGTGGTCAATCCACTGCCCAGTGGTCACTCTGCTGTCCAGCTGTCACCCCAGTGTCCAGTGGTCACTCTGCTGCCCAGCGGTCACTCTGCTGCCTAGCGGTCACTGTGCTGCCCAGCGGTCACCCCAATGCCCAGTGGTCACTCTGCTGTCCAGTGGTCACTCCGCTGCCCAGTGGTCACTCTGCTGCCCAGTGGTCACTCCACTGTCCCTCACCGATGATGGTGCTGTTGCCGTCGGCGCCGTCCCTCTCCAGCAGTTCATCGATGAGATCCTCCAGCTCATTCTCCACCTGGGGAGGGGGCACAGGGGGGGTTTGGGGGGTGCTGGG